TTTCCCTGTGCAGTGCCAAAGGAATCAGCATTGTGTTTTCGCTTTTGCAATATTTACGTCTGAATTTAAAAACATTTCAATTTCATTTGATTTTCAAATCCCCAACACCGCAACCCACAACCCACCTCCCACCTCCACAATGCTGCCTCCCCTCCAGAGGGAGTGGTGCCTGCCTGCCTGCCACCCCGTTGTGTCATCATTTATTTACACCAAACGTCACGTAGGGGCGCAACACACCCGCTTCATGCAAAAAAATATCCATTCTACAAGCTCATATAGGAAAAACGCTGGAGAATATAGATATTTTGCAGTGATCTATGCCTGGGATACACTGTGGAGATACAGTGGAACTTCTATATAGCGAAATCTCAAGGGGAATTCGTATTAGAGACCTAATTTTTGCCGATTTAAAGCATTGCAGTGCTCCGGAAATAAATTATTTATAGAGAAAACTTCTTTAAACGGAAGTTCTTAAAAGAGAAGTTCGACTGTATATCACCTCTATATATACTATATTATATATTCGTTGATATTTGTATAAATATCATTATATTTTTGATCTGCTTTTTATTGTAAAGAAACACTGAAAACCATAGGTTTTATTATAGCATTACCTTTGAAGTCATACAATTTGTCTTATGTATAAAATTTACCAAGAAAGCTTTATATTATGGTATCCCTATATCAATTTAATGCCCAAGAGCTATGAAAATTAATATTAAATTATTTTTGTGGAGTTTTTTCTTGGGTATTTTCCTGGAAAGCAAAAAGATTAGATAATTTCTTGGAAAACTGCTGCGTTCTTAGAATTTTTGATTTAACAATTAGTTTAAAATAATTTTGTTCGTTACTGCAAGCACTGTTACACTTGTTGCGCGTCATGCGGCAGCACTCCTCGGTCGTTGAAGAGTTTCTACTTGGAATCCGCGCATATCGTTGTCTTTGGCTTTCAGAAGGACAAGTCTCTCGATACTCTTCAAAAATACTCTCTCTTTTAGGTTATTTTTGCTTTGCAAACACCTCGTGATAATCATGATACCCTCTCTCTGTGAGGGAATAGAAATATTTTGATGTAAAAACAGGCGCATTGCGCCAAAAGTAGGGGAACACTGAAAATATTCTGGAAACGCTGCCGCTTGGCTGCTTCCGCCCCAGCCCCTGCCCCTGCCCCTGCCCCAGACCCTGCCCCAGCCTATGGGCCTCTCTCCTCCACTGAAAAACAAAGCCAAACCGCAATGTTTTTCGTTCGGTGGCTGCTGCTGGTCCGCAGAGGCAGCGCAGTGGTTATTGTGGGCGTGGCAAACAGTGTTGTTGATATTTGCACAATGCTTTCTCCGGTGGCGGTCCCCCCCCCCAGGGGCCTCCCCGCACAGTTTTGCATGCCCAGTGCCACGCCTCTTTAATTAAGAAAAAGAAATGTGTCGTAGAATGCTGGAAGCGAAAACAGAGCCAAATGCTTATCAGTTTTTATATGGGCCATTAGGCACAGAAAGCGCCTGGAAATTCCTCAGAGCTCGTGGACCAAACGTCTGTCGAAACGTGAGCGGTCGTTAAAGATGGAGGAGCAGTGGGAGCAGGAGATGGAGCAGCAGAAGGAGCAGGAGATGGAGCCCAGATCTGGCGTTGATTGGGTTGGCATGTTGTGGGCAGTAGAGAGAGTTGACACCGGGGCAGACTTCGGTCCAGTCTCTGGGGCACACAGGTAGCGTCGTGACGTCGCCGGGGGGGCCATAACGCATACGCCGTGTGGTACTTGAGAAAGGTCGTGCTCTGCCGTGGATGTTTACGCTTCGTTTATTGTGCGTTTTACGACAACATGTGCCCCATATAAACGGGGGAGGTACGCGCTTCTTTCTTTGTTAGTTTTTGTTAGCCAGGTTAATGCCCATTTATTGGCCAAGTAGCAAAACAAATACGGAATACGGAACATGCAAAAAACGGGAGACAGAACATTGAACTTTCCGGACAATCGGAAATTTTTGAATGCAGCTTATAAACGAGTCACAAAAGATGTCCTTTTAGTGTCCTTTGAGTGGTCCAGTGCTTAATTTTCCACCCAAAAATAAATCTCTCAAGACTTTTCCCATTTAAATTTCGGTATTAACAGGGCCCCGACCTTTGCTTTATAGTTGGCCATTTTCCTCTGTGTGTCCTTGGCGCAAATGAAGCCTGAAAGACAAAGGAAACCAGGCGGAAAATTGTGCCGAAAGAAGGGTCCACCATTTGGGGGAAATAAAACAAATTAATAATGCTCTCCGGCAATAAAATACTTTATAACGGGGGCAGGTTGCAAGTGCGCCCGTCGGCTGTTTTATGGCCCAAAACAGACTAATTTAACTATTGGTTTGATGTCCAAAAAAAACCAGGGAGAAAGAGAGGGAGGGAGAGGGCCACACATTCGTTGTATCTTTCCGCTGAGGCGCTTGGTGTGGCGCATGGATGTGGATGTTTTTTGCGATGATGCGATTTTTATAGATTTTTTTCTGTTCTGTTCTGCTTGTGTTTTGAATTTCAATGAATATTCTCGTATTTCAGAGTTTGATTTCAATGAAGAGCGGGAATTTTTTTATTCAGAGAATTCTTGGTGTTTCATTTTCAGAATGAAGATATTTTTATAGAATTGATGAATATTTTTTGGAAGTTTTTACAAAGAAAATTAATTATTTGCAAAGGTTCTATCGAGTACCAATCTCCACTTGAAGAGAACTAGCTGGAGGTCTCTTTAACAGCTAAGCCACACTGGGAGAGAGCGATAGAGAAGGCTAGGCATGCCGTGAAACTCTTTTTTTTATCTCAAAGAAAATCAATCATTTCAGGGTCTATCGAATACCAATCTCCACTGGTTGGGAGCTAGCTGGAGGTCTCTTTAACAGCTAAGCCACACTGGGAGAGAGAGAGAGAGAGAGAGAGAGATAGATAGATATAGAGGGCGAACGTGTGGCACGTTCTGGCGATAATAATGATCCAAACCCATCGTTTCAGTTTCCAAGAGGCATCTCTATGGCTGGCATCTCTATCCACTATTCATTTGTTCTCCCTCACTCCCTCTCTCTCCCTCACTCCCTCTCTCTATCGTCTCTCGTTGAGTGTGTGTTTTATTGCATGCCTTCCTCAATGCTAATATTGGGGCTAAAAGTTAATTAATTAAGCACTATGCCTGCCTGCCTGGCGGCCATACTTTCGGGGTTTTCCATCTTCCAGCCAGTCTTGAGAGCATTTCCATTCCTATACCAACTCGCTCTGCGAATATTGCCATCATAAATTGCATTTAATGGGCTTTCCGCCGCCGTTTATTAATTGCCCTTCCATATACGAGTACGAGTAGTAGTGGAAAATGTTCTTGCTAATTCTGGGATGCTGGGATTGGATTTCGCTTTCGTCCTACCTCTGGAATACCCATTATGTGAGTATATCCCATTTAATTAGCTGGTTAATCGCCCGACTCGTTGACTGCCGATAAATGCATTCTCCGCGGGCAGTGCGTTGCCCTTGCCCTTTGCTTGTGACCTTGCTGGAAGGAGGAGGTGGAGGAGGAGGAGTGGGTGGTAAACGATATGCGCATTTAAGAGGCTTTACAGACGTAGAAGGCGTGGGCGTGTGGCGGGTGCCACACGCAATCAAACATTCATTTACATGCACTTCACGTGGCAGGGTCTGATTTTATTTTCCCCTCCTCCCCCCTCGTCCTCCTCCTCTTCTTCGTCTCGTTTTTGGTTGCGCTTTAATACCCTTCTTTACTGATGCGGGGATTATGCGTTTAAGTTGATTTTTTCAAAGGCACACAAAGTGTGAAAAAATCAATCATTTCTGTTTTTATTCCACCAAAATGTGTTGTTTTATAATATTGAACTATTTCCGATCTGTTTTCATCTTTCCATCATTTTAAACAGAATTATCCATTAAATGGGTTTTTCCAATATCCTTTTGGGATTTTCATCGTTAAAATTCATGTACGGCTCGTGGTGAATGGCCTCTGCCATTGCCATTCAAAAGTTGTGTGTCAATTCGATTAAGGGTAATTTTTAAAGCGAATGGTTACTGGTTTCATCGAAATCCATTGATTTTTTTATATAAAATCCCTTCAAGGGTATCCCCCGTTTCTTTATTCTTTTCCTTTTTTTTGGGCAGACCACCCAACCACCCACTCAACCATTCCCCGAGGAGGTCTCCCTCCCGTCTGTCGTATTATGAGTCGACTGCCAATCAACGTTATATATTTTTGTTGGGTTTTTTTTTTGTTCGATTGCCGAACGGCGTAACTTTTACGGCTTTTTATTGTTATTTTGTATTTTTACGGTTTTTTAACAGTAATAATTAATTTAATGTGCGCTTCGCTGTAGGTAAATGGGTTCCTCGGAAGCCCCCCGAAGCACTTGCCCCCCTCCCCTCCCTCGCTGACGCTGTTGTCGCTGATGAATTTCTGTGTGTCTGTTGTTTGTTTTGCATTAGCGTGGGAGAGAGACAGACAGAGAGAGGGGGAGAGGGAGAGAACAATGTTTTTGCCGCTGTATTTTTAATAAATGTTTTATTATTGTTGCACTCGCATTGACGACCGACGCCCGCCCGACAGCGAAAAAAACACTGACAAATGAGGGGTTAATGCTAAGTGCGGGGTTCAAGAGCCAGATGAGAGTTGATGCTACCAAATCTGGTCAGTATATATAGTATATACATATGTATGTACGATTCAAGACAGAATTAAACCTGACTTTTAAATAAATTAAAATCTTTGAATGATTTTTCATTGCGAGAGAGGCTGGGCTGCCATGGCAACATTGTGGGTGGACGGCTCACAGTCTCTCTCGCTCGCTCTCTCCCACTCTCCGTTGCTGAGCCACATTGTTGATGAGGCGAGATCTGAGGTTGAGCAACAATATCCGACAGGAACATCGACCTTGGACAATGGCATGTCACGTTGAAGCAGGCACTCTTCGCAGCACGTTGGCAATGCAAGATCCGATGTTGAGCAACGTCGCTTAGGAACTCTAGCGTTTCGCTTGCACATATGTTGAGCAACATTCTAATGGATTACGATCCATGATGTGCCGTCCTATTTAAAGGCCAATAAATCAATTCATGAAAATAAATTAAATATTAATGGGTGCACGCAACCAACATCCGATTACAGGGGAGACCCTTACCACTCGATTGAACTAGAAATGGGTGTAAACGCTCCAAAAGTTGTGCCTTTTGCACATAAGTATGTGACCCTCAAGTGCGTGCCAGTGTTGCTAGGACCTGCAGCTTTGCAACATTGCAGCCGATTACTTTGAAGAAGGCTCCCTAGTCGTTGCCGCCTTGAATTTGCCCCAGAAAAAGCGTGGTCCTCTTGTTGGTGTCCCCCTCTTACCTTGGACATAGAGGCAGATACGTTAGAACAATGAGAAATTTAATATAATGTATTAAAATTACTAAATTCAAGTTTAATTCATGCTATTATGTTGACCTTTGAGTCTTGTGCTATTTCAACATCCTCTCCCGCGAGAGGAGCCTCCCGTGATGCTGTACAATTCCAGGCCAGGCCAGGCCTAATCGCAGCATATTATATTTCCTCAATAAATTGAAAGTCTTTCGGATGGATAGCAAAGGGGGATGGGGGATTCCTGGTCGTGAGCTTATTAGCACGCACTTAACCTTGGAGCAGGAGCACAACCACGGCCAGGACTCTCGTCTGTTTCTCGAATAAAGAGAGAGAGAAGACAATAAATAATTGCGGCTAACAGTTGGTGGCCGCCTCCTGGCTGCTCTTCGACGACTCCTCGGGCCTCGGCCAGTGTTCATCATGCTGAAAAATGACCTCAAATTACACTGGAAGCGGGAATGAGATGATAAAAGATAGCAAGAGAGAGAGAGAGTAGAGAGTAGAAAGTAGTGGAGCACAGCAGATTGGAGGAAGCAAGTTGACGCTTATAAATTATGTCACATACTTCATGGCGTCCAAGCGGGAAAATTGATCATAACGATGGAAAGGAGCGGCGGAGAGCTGTGGTGTGCCGTAAAAGTTTTGGCCCCCAACAAACTTTTAATGCGAATCGATAAATCAGGGCACTGTTTAATGTTTAATGTAAATTGTAATTTCTTTTTCTGTTGCTCTGTTGCTGTGTTGCTGAGTTGCTGTGTTGCTGAGTTGCTTTGTTGCCCATTATCTGGTGACAACTTGTTGAGTCGTAAATAAAACTGCTCCGCCGTTGGGGTGGAGGATGCATCTGGCAATCTGTCTCCTGGTGTGGATCCACTGGTGTATCCCAGCCACTCAATTAGCCAGACAGGGAACGTTGGAACGTTGGAACGTTGGGCGCCATTGCAGTTGTCAGTGTCTGACAAATTGCATTTCTTGGCCAAAAAGGGGTAGGGCTTGCCCCTGGTCGGACACTGCGGAAGTGGAAGCAATTTTTCTTATTGATTGGTTTTAATTAGAAAAACCATCAACCGCAAATTAGCCTTGCGATGGCTTCATTAATAAGTTTTTATAGCACTTTTCTTTGCGCCATTTCCGCCTTTCTTTTTCCATTACTTTTGTTTGGACGCGTTCCGCTCCACACACACACACACACACACACGTACACATGCCAATAATAATAATAATAAAAATAAAAATAAAACCACTCACATAATACGATTTATTTGTTTTGGAAAATGTTTTCTTGACTTTTTGCCCGCTGGCCGTCTCGTCTGCTGGCTCTTTCCATCTGCGTTTTTCGTTCCCCATCGATGGACAAGTTTTCCTCATTGGAAATGTGGCGTTGTTTCTGTTTTTACGCCTCGTCTAATAATTGCAAAAACTTTACAAAAAACTTTTTCGGACGCGTGTGTGCCTTTTGTCCGAGCAGGGGGGGGAGCGGCATTTAGGCCAGATGTCCAAATGTTTGCCGTTTCTCATGGCCGTTTAGGAGCGAAAGGGGGAAGCACGAGGCCAATCAGATAATAGCATTATTGGAAAAAACTAAAGTTTCCTGACTATGAAGCAAAAATGCCATTAGAGTTGGTTGTGGAGTTCAAGAAATTGTAATGTGTTCGTCTCAAAAAGTTCAAAGTTTGCCAGAAGTTCTTTTTCGGCAAGTTATTTTTAGTTTTAAGATCTCTTTCAATGATTAATTTATACGACAGACAGTTATTTTCTGCAAAAACAATCGAGAGCGAATTCGTAACCAGGCGAATTGCCAATCGTCATAGGAAAGCGCGCAATTGAGAGCAGAATGCAAGAAACATCGTGAAATTATGCAAGGTGGTCCGCTCTCGGGTCTTAGCAGAGCTGAGAGCGGTTTGATGACAGAGAGAAGACCGAAGTTTGCTGTTGTACCAGAAATGAATAGAGAGCGCGTTGCCGGCGCCACCTTGTGTGGACTTTTGCGATCGAGAACGAATTCCTCTCTCTCCAGCTCTTCTCTGGACGCGCAATGGCGAGCAGCAAGCAACAACGAGGGGAGGGAGGGCGAATTTAAAAGCACGAAGCAGCACATCGGCGAAATAGGAGCCGAGCCGACGAAAAAGGGTTTATTTAGAAGCCATTTGGCACATAAAATAATTCCAATAAAGCCTCTTCGGGTCCCCCCACTGAACATTCTGCTGCTGCTTCATGCAATTAAACCTTTTGACATTTTGGTGTATTTGATAAACTGCACATGCATCATAGACTTTGCACTATAATCGCATAATCCGATTCTGGGGCATGTGGGCGCCACACACACACACACACGCACACACATATGATATTTACTTTAGTGCTTCGTCTGTCAGCTAATTGTTACTTGGGCAAACTTTGTTAAGCCCCCGTTCTGAGTTGCGTTCCGTTCTCCTGCTCCACTGAAAAGTCTACGCTTTGAGTTAACTTTTAGCCTCCCTCGCTCCCTCTCCCCCCTATAACTTTTTCGCCAGTAATTTCATTTAACGAAAAGGAAGAGGCAGTCGAGGAGCGTCCTCTATGGCTCATCCTCAACCTCCAGGTGGCGGCTTATCCAACAGCTTGAATTGTGGCGGTGGCTGCCGCCGCTGCTGCTGGCCCTTCAAAAGTTTTTGAGTTTATTTTTGCATAATTGCACTGAGACTAAATTAAATGCTCTCCCGACCCACCCCCCACCCCCCTACCCCCTTGCCAGAGAGCGAACAAAAGTTTTTGGCCAAGAGAACAGACTGTTGCCAAAGCATAAATAAGTGTGTCTAATGCTGCTGCTATGCTGCAAATGCCACAAAAGTTAGTTCAAGTGTGTGTGTGTGTGTGTGGGTGGGTGTTGCATGTCCAGGTCCTTGGGGAGTACATACCTCTGTGGGGATTACTCAACTCCTTGCGAATGTGGATATTTGTCTGTTGGAATTACTGAGGCGAATATCCATGTGTGTTGCCACGCCCCATGATCCGGCGCAGACTGTCTGCTGTGTGTGTGAGTGTGTTTCCTCCTTGAGCAATGGATTGTAGCATACTTTCCCGAGCAGAAAACACACACATGAATGTGGGCACAATTGCTGCAGGACTCTCAACTATTTTGTTGTGGCATTGTTTCTTTCCACTTTGTTGGCAACATTTTATACTTGGGATTTTCGACTGCTTCTGACATTTATGGCCCCTCTGCCTGCTGTCCGGCTATCCACTTAATTTTCTTGTTTGATTTTATGGCCTTACTATTATCGAGGCAGCCCCCCTCTCCCCTCCACTGTGGATATAGTGATTTATTTAGTGTAATGAGTGTAGGAGAAAAGTCTTTTTAAAGAAATCTGTGAAGGATATCGCACAGCCAGCCTCCCACACTCCCAGCCCCTTCCTCTGGTTGTTGCATTTTATGCATTTCACATTGGAAATATTGTTTTTATGGGTCGTTGCAAGTGCAAATAAAACAGAATTGCCAGAGAGCAAACGAAGCTGAAACTACCAGCAGATGTGGGGCATCCCATGTAGCAATCAAAGCACACGTACGTACATACATAGATTCCCTGTCTGTCTGCTCTTGTTTCACCTTTGGCACTCCCTCTCACATGTCAGACGAGACGAACCGAAACGAGAGAAAATGGCATTCAAATCATTGTTCATGTACCCATTGATTGCTGGTGGGTGGGTGGATGGGCGGCTGGGGGGGCGTATAAACCAATTGTCGACAAAAGTATTAATCGATACGTATATCTTTTCTCCATGTATCTTTTTAGGCGGTTCCGACAGCAACAAGGGAAAGAGTAAAAAATGGCGCAAAATATTACAATTTCCACACATATCGCAATGCATCAACCTGAAAGACAAATTAGGTGAGTGTTTTGCCCATCGCCCCCGGGGGGAATCCCCTGGTTCCGAATACTATATAATACCGTGTATATATTCAACAGATATAAGCTATGGCTACGTGATAGATCAGCAACCCATTGGTCGTGAGCTCTTTCGACAGTTCTGCGAGAACAAGCGGCCCATCTACTTTCGCTATATCGTTTTTCTCGAGCAGGTGGTCAAGTAAGTGATTGATTGATGGAGAGACTTGGATTGGATTAACCATTGAATACATTTTGTAGATACGAAATCGAGTACATTGTGAATCGCATATTTATGGGCCATGACATTGGACGGCGCTTCCTGGATGTTGAGCCGCAGCTGGAGCTGCGCAATGGCGGCGGTCTGGGCGGTGGCGATGCACTCGATGCGGAGACACGGGAGGAGCTGCTGCTCAACAGCAGCAATGCCAATCCAACCGAAACAACAACAACAACAACAACAGCTGAGACTGAACACTGCAACAATACCACCGCCAACAACTGCAACAACATCACCAGCAACAGCAACATCAATCACAAGAAGCTGGACACACGCAACCATAATGGGGATGACCATGCCACTGCCGGTGGCAACACCGACGACGGCGACGAGGGTGTCGAGTGCGGCGACAGTAATGACGACGCCGCCGCCGAGAAGGCGATCAGCGCTGGTGGAGGCGGAGTCGGAGGTGGTGGCGGTGGCGGTGGTGCCTCTGGCATTGGAGGATCTGCGGACGAACTCGTTCTGGACGTGCTCAACGATGATCTCATTGCGCAAGTGCGTAACAAACTGAACTCCGGCGGCAAGGACATCTTTGTCCAGTGCGTCAAGGCGGTGAAGGCGTTCCTGGCCGGCGAACCCTTCCGGGAGTTCGAGAACTCCATGTACTTTCATCGGTAAGAGCGGATTAGCCATCCATCCAACGAGTAAGCCACGTTAATCCTTCCCGTTCGCTCTCCCTTCCAGATATCTGCAGTGGAAGTGGCTGGAGGCACAGCCCATAACCTACAAAACATTTCGCATGTATCGTGTCCTCGGCAAGGGGGGCTTTGGCGAGGTCTGCGCCTGTCAGGTAGGCCACAAGCAACGGCTGACCGCTGTCTAACCCTCTAACGTTGTTCCTTCGGCCTTTTTTCAGGTGCGGGCCACAGGGAAAATGTACGCGTGCAAAAAGCTGGAGAAAAAACGCATCAAGAAACGCAAGGGCGAGTCGATGGTGCTCATCGAGAAGCAGA